GGGGCCCGAGCCTCGTGGGGGCGGGCGGAGGCCCGGGGTGCCCTCGCCTCCGTCGGCGCCCTGCGCTTCGCGGTCCGGCCTTCCCGCGGCCAGCGAGCCGCTGCGCGAGCTCAGTCCCTCGGTAGCTGTGGTCTCACGCCGCCGGCCCACCCTGCGGACGCGGAGACTGAGGTCAGAGGTCCGGCTGTCCGGCAGCATCACGCTGTACCGGGGAGCCTAGACCTCAGCAGGCCGCCGGCCGGTGGTGGTCTCCCCGCTGCGCTCTTCCAAGCTGCGAGGACCCTCGGGAGCCCCCGGCTTGCTTTGACCATTCCCTGGGCGCCCATGGGTGTTGGGGTCAGAGTGCTGAACTACGCGAGACCCCGGCCCTGCAGCCCCAAGGACTTTCTGCCTCCTCAGTCCTGCTCGAAAGTGCCATCGCCGGCCTGGGTGTTGACACCCTGCCTGGGTGCCGGGGTGTGTGTGTGTGTGTAAACGTGGACCTGGCCTCTGGGCCCGCAAGGGAAACGGCCCAGAGTGTGGGAGGGCAGTGGGCCGGGAGGGGCGGTAGAGGAGGAGAAGGACATGGTGGGTTTCTGGATCTGAAAGCTGATTTGGCTGCTTCGTGGTCATGGGGACAAACCCTCAGGTACGCTGACCTCGAGGAGGCCGTGGGGCCGGACAGGCTGCAGCTCTTGGCCTCGCCTCTGCTGCCATCTCTGGGGCTCAGCTGTGGGAACATCCTCAGGCTGGCACAGCCCAGCCACACCAGGCCAGGCGATGGCCAGGCTGTGGATACTGGCTCAGAGCTCGTCGGGGGCCACAGCTGCAGGCAGGCCCCTCTTGGAGGGAAGGGGCACGACCTGGTGGTCCCACAGTCTCTACTGCTATTATAGCCCCTGTGCCCCTTTGGAGCCATACGCCTGCCCCATGCATGTTTCCTGGACGCAGAGGCCACCCACAACTTCGGTTTGCAGCCCAGGGTGGATGGACCCTTTGGCAGAGCTGGGCAGAAGGCATGGCCCATGCAGAGACGCTGAAAACTTCACAAGTTTCTGGCCGACTCATCTAACCGTCTGAAATGTATAGCTCATTCCTGGCCCCGAAGACGCTCTGGCCTGTGGGTTTGCCCCGACAGACTCAGCATCCATGGACGCCAAGTCGGATTTGAGGGAGGTTTTGTTCCCTCCCTCGGGGTCACCGGCTGGCTGCTTCCGTCAGCCCGAGGCGCGGGGCCTGCCCTGGGCACAGTCTCTCACTCGCTGGCCCTGCTCACTCTGCTGGCCCCCGCACGGAGCTGCACCTGCCCACGCCTGAGCAGGGCAAGGCCAGAAACGACGTGACTGTGTGTTGTTCTCAGGGAGGTGGGCCCTGGGGTCCACCCGGGGCCAAATGGCCTCAGCTTCCCCACCCAGGCCATGGGGCTGGTTGTTCCAGGTTGTCCCAGGCCCCAGGGCCCTTTCTAAGATGACACTAGTTTGGGGTCAGACCATAGAGCGTCCAGCAGGTGGCGCCACCAGCCCATCTGTTCTACCAGGTTAGCGGTAGAATCTTAGGGGATTAGGGAGTGAGTTCACACCAAATTGCGAACCTGGATCAGAACCAAAGATGAGCAGAGTGACCGCTCGCCGGGCCACAGTGTAAAGACAGGGACACGGCCGAGAGGAGGGGTGTGACTGACGCTGGGTTTCAGAGGGAAGTCCTTGCCTGTCAATCAGTCATCTCTCTGTGTCCCCGGGCCATCAAGCGGCCTGGAGCCCTGTGTGCTGCCGTTGTCTCGGTTCCGGGATTCTGGGGTGGGCGGGCGGAGATGAGGCCTCTGGTCAGAGGAGGGGCATCTGCCCTTGTCGCCCCTCACCTCCCTTCCCCTGTGCCTCTGTGTCTTCTGACGAACTCTGGCTCCTCTGGCAGGAGGTGAAGAGCCATGTGGACTTCAGGGAAAGTGGCCACCCATGCTGAGCGGAGGTGGCTGATTGGGGTCCAGCCCCAGGGTGGGGCCCTGACATCCACCTGCTGGGCCTGCAGCAAGGAATCGTCCCATTTTTAAACGGTTGAAGCTGAGCCGTTTCAATGGTGATGAGGAACACTTCTGGGCTGGCCTCTGAGTTCACCCGCTGTGACCTCACCTGGCCCTTCGTCGTCCACAGGGAGCTTTCACCCGTATTCCGTCTCCACCCCTGGGCCTCTGTTTTCTGGTCTGTGGAATGGGAATGCTGATATAATTAGCTGATATTTATTAAGAACCTGCTGTGCCAGCACACACATCACCTGGGTCTTGTGAAAACGCAGGAGTGGGTGGGTGGCTCTGGGGCAGGGTGGAATTCTGCATTTCTGACGAGCTCCGGGCCGTGCCTCTGCTGGTGCAGACCGCCCTTTGAGCGGAGCCCGGCTCTCAACACTCGCCCACTGCGTTTGTTCACTTCCTCACAACAACCCCGTTGTTGGATCGTCCTGTCTGACATCCCTCCTCCTCCGGGACGCTTGCTCTGGCCCCTCGTTGAACCCGGTTCCAGCAAGAGGCCCTGCTGCCTTGAAGCCGGTTCCAGCAAGAGGCCCTGCTGCCCGCTCTCCTGGTTCCCGTCTCGTCACCCACCCTCCAGTCAGCTCCACCCGGCAGCCTAGTGGGCAAGCCAGGGGTCAGCTGGCCAGTTGTCTGTGTCCCTCTGCTGGGAGGCCGGCTTCCCCCGACACGGCCTTCCTGCCTGGGTGGCTGCTGGCTCGAGTGCACTTGGGAAGATGGTGTCGGAGAAGGAGAGAGGGACAAGCAAGTGGGGTCAGCTTGCCAGTGCCTGATTCTAACTGAGGTGGTTTCACTGTGTGACCCCTCCCCCCGAATCTCCAGGGCTCAGGGTCCTCCCAGGCCGACTGGACACTGGGTAGGGTGTCCCCCTGCCTTGGGGGAGGGGGTGGGATGCTCCCAGGCAGAGCCTTCCCTGGACCCCCTGCCCATCCTACAAGAAGGAGTAGGGTGCTTCTCATTGTCCAGGGATGGCAGAGGGGCCAGTGAGGCTGAGATGCCAGCCTGGGGATGAGGGGCTGGGGGACGCAGGAGACTGAGGGATGCGGGGGGCTAGGAAGGCTGTGTCCTGACGCCACGCTCCTGGGTGCCAGGCCTGGGGCTCTGACTGGGCAGGTGCCCAGAGGTATGGTGCAGGGTGGGCGCTGCTGCCCTTTGTGGGGGAGGCTCCTGTTCAGGGTGGGGTGGGGCGCGCCATGCAGCCACCATTCTGGCCCCAGGCGTGGGCCGGAGTGGCCCGTTTCTCCCTTTCCCTGCAGCCCCCGGGCACAGGGCAAAGGGGCAGGACTGTTGGGGTGCGGCGCTCACTCGGAACAAACCCACAGAACAGGTTCTTCCGCCCGCGGCGACCGGGAGGCCCGGAGCACACCTCACTCCACTCGGCGCCTGGCGGCTGGCGGCGGACCCAGGCCCTGGAGGTAGGGGTGGGCGCGGGGTGGGCGCGGGGTGGGGCAGCCCGGGGAGGGAAGATGAACCCTGGGCGCAGGTGGGCGGTGGCCCCAGATGGTGCCCCCAGAACCGAGCTGGGGCTGCGCAGTGTTTGGGCCTGCCAGCCCCGCGGGCAGAGGCTCCCTGAGTGGAGCGGTGGGAAGGGCCCTGGCGGCAGCTCCTACAGCCGAGCCTGTCGGGGGGCTTGTTCGGTGGGGTCATGCCAAGGGGCTGGAGTGCAGAGCCTGGGCCTGGGGCTCGGGCTGGTCTGGGAAGTGATGTCGGGCGATTCCAGGGCACAGGCGGGTGGCCGGGGGTTCTGCCTGTGGCCAGGGCCAGTGTGTCGCTGTGCTGGCTGGGGACAGGAAGGCAGATTCCTGGCAGAACGGTGCATCTGACCGGAGCAGAGCCAGCTCTGGTACACTGTCAGGGCCTCAAGGGAGCCTGGGGGCTAAGGAGGGAAGCACCGTCCGTGTGGCAGAGCCAAGAAATCAAAGCTCAGAGAGGCTGTGTCTGGTCCA